GGTGTCGTCAAGGGCCCTCCTAACCGTTATTGTCCCATCATGTGATTGTAAATCTTTAATGCTACTTTTGACACTCCTTCGATCCTGCCTGTCAACTCCAACCCAGGCTGACAGAGCTACAGTATCTTAGCAGACAGAAGGAGATGCTCGGTGAATTAATTTTCCTACGCAGGTAAAGAGAGTAAACATTACAACACAGACGCCAAAGGACCTTGTCTGATGAAACTCACAAAGTCGCTAATGTGCTAAAGTCACCGGTAACACCGTGGCATGTGTTGCCTTCAAAACAAGACGGTTCTGACCGGGGGCTGCCCAGTTTGTCAGAGGCCCAGTTTGTCACAATTTCATTTAAGTATTTGAGTATTGATGCCAGTCATAATTACAGCACTTTGACACTGTAGTTGTAACTTAGGTTTTTTATTCTCCACCTTCAAATTGGTGGTGTAGAGATAGTCCCTCTAAAATGTCAATTCGGCTTGTGTTGTTCAATATTTCTTCCTTTTTGTAAGCAAATCAAAGCAAATTACTCTGTAAAATTTCAACAGTGAATGTTCTTTCGTTAAAAACAATTGAAAAAAGTAAAATTCAATTCATAAATCAATCAATCATTCATTTAGATCTACTCTTTTTGAGAGTGTCAGTGGTAGCTTCCATCATGCAGGGCAAGTCGAGGCCTGTGAAAAACTGGCATGCTTCCGTTCTAACAACAGAGAACTTTAATATCATGAACTGGTTTATGATGAACTCACCTTCCATTCACTTGTTTATAACAAAGTTTCGCTCTTTGAACTGGTCGTTATGAATATAAGTTCAATACTACATTCGATAACAATGTACATATACCGTAGTGTCCGCTTAAACCGAAATCTGCGGGACCGCCGAGTTTTCTTTGGCTTATACCGGGTTTTCGGTTTAGAGAGGTTGCTCAAACAGAAAAAAAAGTTGGGCATTTATTTCTTTCGGCGTACCCATCTGCTTTTGGGTTAACCATGTTCGGTTTAAGCGAACTCAACTATACTTGCTTAAAATTTTTAACAACATCGCCCATAGCAAGTTCTTTTAAAATACATTTGCTCCAAATAAATCCACCTCCGACAAAACTTGCTTTCAGTCAAGGGGCATGATAATGATTCTTTAAAAGTAATAGCTGCTGTCCAAGTTGCCATTAGTAACACTGTAATAAACTCCTCTCAAAATATTTACATATGAAAGTGACTAAACTCTTCATGGAGTTCTCGTGTCCGCTGCCACCCCGTTCAGGAAGTGACGCACACGTGTGGGAGAGAAATGTTTGATCCACGCCCTCGTCGGCTTTACCGGAAGTGTGTAGTCCGGCGTGGGCGTGTGTGTCGGGGTTCTTCCTGTGTACCACACGTCTGGCGCTTTCATCTTCATGTCAAGCACACGTCTCGACACGTCTGGGTCGAAATAATCGCCGGATTCTGACGTCACAGAATTTGATCGCGCCGCTCTAGGCTGTCTCAGAGTGGTTAACTGTTTCTGCCCCAAACGATGCTGACTCAACCTTGACCTTGCGTCTCCACGCGTAGGAATAGCGCAAGTTGGTTGTCCAGGACCAGCTTTTGTCTTGATTTTCCTCTCACCCGCTGTCTTTGGCCTAATTCCAGCAATAATGTTTTGTTTCGTTTTCTGAGCAATAACGTCTTCATCCACTTTGGGTAGCGGTTCAGGTGAGAGTGACTGGACCAATCCCTCGATGACGTCCCGTTTAATCTTAGCAACGTCCTTCACCTTGGCAGGAGATGGCGGCTTGGACGAGACAGATGGGGTGAAGCCTCGAGGCGGGACGTACACAGGCTTACCTTGACCTTCCACCTGGGTCAAAGGGCAATAGGGGTAGATCTTCGCCCACGCGACATAGTTTGGGACATCGGCCTCTGCCATCACCTGTCAAGGGCGGGGATAGATAGAAGAAAAATACTTTTTTGGAAAAGTTTTTGAAAGCAGTAATAGGTTTTGAGTAACGAGCCCAACAGATTTCCCGAGGAAGGCGGTGAGATTGGCAAATAGGCTCACATGTCGAGATCAAGATGTCATCATCATCATTGCCTTTCTCACCCTGCACTTTCCACCTTTTTCTATCCTGGGACTCTTGATGTTATTCCCTATCTTTACACCTTTCTGTAAGCCTACATCAATTTGTGTGATTCTTCCCCAGGTTCCACGAGGTCTCCCCCTTGATTTTTTACCTTGGGGATTCCAACCCAACACTTTCTTTGTTGATTAAGATGCACAAACTCTTTAATGGCTCATAGTTCACTATAAGTTAAACGTCCCTGTAGATACAACACAAGGTATATGAGAAGCGGAGTCTCGAATCTAACGCCCATCCCCGATAGGACGCCAGACTGCTCCCCTGACTACGCAATTCAAAGAGGGAAAATACAGAAGAACAGGAATCCAGAACTGCGCCTTTACACTTTTTTTCTTTTGGACAGCAAGTAAATGAAGGGCTTCATCACGGAATAATAATTTGTAAGGGATTTATAATGGTCTGGGCTGTAGGGGTTAGAAAACTTCTCAAAATAGGTCTACTTTTCTTGGACATGAGGAACAAAAACGGTTGAGTTAGGATTATTTATATTTCATTTAAAAAAGAACACCTTACCCTTGTCCATCGACCCCTCCCCCCCCCCAATCCTTTTCACCTCCTTATGTGGTTTCAAGTTACTGAAGAACTGAAGTTATGATAATGTCCTATTTGCCTAATTATTACGGACCATAATATTATATACCTACAAATCACATACACGTCAAAGCAATCTACTTCTACAAGTAAATCATTAAACACAGTAGAAAACAAAGTTTAAAAATGCATCAAATGACAATTACATGGCAATGATTTCAACTATGAAATGTGTATTTGATTAAATAAATTAAATGTTTACATAAAATAAGCATTACAATTTAGTGTGACAGCTCAGCCAGTCCAAAGAAGGACAAAAGCCTTCAACGAACATCACAGACATCAACCCTTGGTCTGAATTTACTTCCAAATATGTGGAGGCACAGGAAAACCTGTCCCAAGTGCCAACCAATATCTTTAAAGATCCCTTGGTAGTCTAAAATCGATCAGAGTAGGCTTCGGCCGCCACCTATCGAGATAGGCTGATCTAAAAGTAATTAAATATTCTTATTTTTTAACTACACCTTCTGTCACATAAACCCTTTTAGCTCTGATCTAAACAAAATATTTTATTATACAAAATAAATGGTAAAATGTTCCACGTTGTCTGAAGATGATAAATAGCAGTATATAAACTATCCATAATGACTTCGGGATTAGTGCATAAGGTTTTCCTGCGCAGTCACATAATATGTACACTTGTCTTTCTACCTCCTACATGCATCTCATTGGGAAGCATCCGTCCTCAGCCATCTCACACCCACACTCTTCCCCAATCTCCCATTTTCTCAATTAAAAAACAAAACAAAACAAAAGTTACGGAAGAACCTATGATAATGTCCTATATGCCTAATTATTACGGACTATATAGTATTCTTCCTTCGTTTGTAATCGCATACTTTAAATTGAAAAGGAAGGGACGAAGCAGAGAGAGAGAGAGAGAGAGAGAGAGAGAGAGAGAGAGAGAGAGAGAGAGAGAGAGAGAGAGAGAGAGAGAGAGAGATAGAGAGAGAGAGA